CACCCACTTTACCATCTTGAGAAGAATCGAGTGCTTACTTGGATAGTTCTGAGAAGGGAGAATAATACATACCGACAAACATTAATCTACCTACAGTGTGTAACCCACTGAAATAATAAAGTAATTAGAACATCAGAGACAAGCCTTGTTTATTTTATGGAGTTTTACCATCAATGCCTATGTTAAACACCGTACATTTCGACATCTTAGCCTGTCAGTTTACACTTTCTTGTTCATCCAGGTTATATCAAGAGCTAAAACACATCGCTATTCAAGCAGGCCAGTAAATTCAGCGATAGAACCACAGGTAACTGTAATTTCAAGTCTCTTACTTTTCCAAAACTACCGACTGATTTCTTATGTCTATTGTTTCAAGAAGGGAGCTCCAAGCCGCTAGCCGGTCTATGGAGAGAGACCGAACCATATGGGATCAACCCGGGTGTTATAAAGTCGCTCCACTTAACTTTGTATTATTATTTCAATGTCCTTGGTATGGGCGTTGTGATCAATATCACGTTAGCCGCCTTTATTCATCAGGATATTTAAAAGAAAATGTGTCTAAGTATGTAATTAAACACAAGATCCTGTGGTCGGCAAGCAAGCGTCCAGCCACTGCACTATCGCAGCTCAAGTGGTTACTTTGTCCGTGTTGTCCGTATCCACTTCCTGGCACATCGGTACTGCCCATTCGTGCTTCTTCCTCCGATAGAGGAGCCATATCAATATCTTCATGCTCAGCGTAGGTAGGAACTGATAGATTATTTTCTTTCTTTGCCCCGCATCCGGTTTCCGCATGCTCGTCTTAGTGTAATACCGATTCCTAACAGGCTGTTCATCGTCTCTGACTTCTTTGCCTTAACATCTCCAGAACGCGAGCGCATTCAGAATGTCTGTTCTACACATAACTTGTTCCTCCACTAATCACGGCAGACACGGCCAATCTGTCAGCTTTTTTTAATTTCCTTTCACCCCGGCGTTTGCAACCAATATAGTTTCCTGACGTGGAACTCCTGAGTGCTGTCAACCTCATTCGTTATTTTGTCCATGGTCTTATGTTAAAATCACTTTTGAGATAAGGGATCCCTACCTTCCTGTTTTCCATACAAACAGGTCAGTTCAACTTTAAAATCGTATGAGGACGTTTCCAGTAAAGGCGGCCGGCGTGATATAGACCACATCGTCCAAAGAGTGCTGATTGATAAAAAAAAAAAAAAAAAAGATAACAACCATTCACGAAATACGCCTCAGAAAATGACAAAATGGTCTTTCCACATTGTCTTTTTAAAAAAGCTTTTTTGTGTGCCAGGGTGCTCCATACTTGTACCAACCAATTAACCATTCAACATCGCTAGTCAAGGTAAGTCTGTCTTCTTTCTGCGTAAAATGGTATCAGCGAAAGACAAAATCTCTCTCTCTCTCTCTCTCTCTCTCTCTCTCTCTCTCTCTCTCTCTCTCTCTCTCTCTCTCTCTCTCTCTCTCTCTCTCTCTCGCTCACTCACTTCAGTACCAGTGAACTCGCTATACGCTCATAGCGATTAATCTTTACATGGTTCGGTTTTAATGACTCTGCCTGTCCCATTCTTCTGTTAACAGATTCTGGCAAAGAAGCTATCATAACTTCTGTCCATAAGCTTAATTTTTCAGATTGACAACTGTATATAATTGTTGCTCAATGTACAATAACTTTATATAAGACCATGTTGAAGTAACAACTACCTGGTGCTAAAAGAGTTGATAATGAATTAAGGCATGCATTAATCAAAAATTGTACAACACTGCACTTGGGACACTCCTATACGAACTCCGTCCCATTCTTCAGCAAGCAACAAAGAACTGACAAGCTATTAGTACCAATTACAACCTAATTAAAAGTCCCTCTCTGTTTCCCCTTCAATATTGAATATTTTCTAGATCCTCTAAACCCCCCCCCCCCCCCCTAATTCCACCCCCGTTGTTTTAGTCTTTCAGTGTATGGATTCCCTGTCTGTTCTTTTGCGCTGTCAGTTTGATCCCATAGAAGAGCCTTCAACACATCCGATTTATCATATATTAGCTCACCGTCCTTAGGAGCGGTAGCAGCCAGTCTAACAATCTGCTCGTTACCACATACACCTGAATCTCCTGGTCAGAAAATCCATGGCATCCTTCCTTGTATTGCGAAAAAGAAATCGTCACGTTCAACCAGCATCCCCAAAGGGGGAGCTTTAGGTTATAACTGTGACCAGGTTTTGTGCATCTTATAAAATGGCTTAGCATTGCTGGCCACCAAGTAGCCCTGAAAATAACTCTTGCAGTGTTGATGTGAGCAGAGGAGACAGACCCAAATGCTGCTCCGACCGACTACGAAGTTGTCTACTGGCCACCAAGTGGGCGACCCAGTCGCCGAAGATGATATGAATCCATGGTATACTCTTGATTCTTTCAAGTGATACAAGCCACTCTGCGCGCAGGACACCAGTTTCAATTTTCCTAAGCATGTTCTGTGAGTGTGTTCAATCACAACATGTGGGGCAGTGCTGTTCTTAAACTATCGGAAAGCTGCCATTACTGCCTAAGCCCCCATTTTCATACTGGATGTAGTTCTTCTTCTTCTTCTTCTTCGTTCACCGGCTGTGAATTCCTGCGGAAGGTCCCAGTAGTTTGTCCATTTGGACTTTCGGCATTTACCTGGACCTTAATTTTTTTTTTTTTTTTACCTGGACCTGGATGTAGTGACGTTATAGGCGAAGCTCTCTGTTTTCAAGCAGTGTCCATCTACCTTTGCAATAAAACCGCACCCACTGTTCTTATCTCTCACTACAGACCCACATTTATATATATTAATATGTCATCTAGCCTTATTTTCACCGCTGACTGTTTCACCAGAAATCCATTCCCCGCACCCTCCGTCCAAGGTAACTATCACTCTGCGCAAGTCTGTTTTGCTGGCTGGCACTGTAGCCCATTCTTCATTGCACTCTATCTTGTCAGAAGAATAAACAGTTCTGATCGTAACTTCTGCCTGTCCCATCCGAGAGCCACCTTTTTTCCAGACGTCGTTCCCTGCTATTGCCTAACACCTCATCCAGAAGGTGTTTTCTGTCAGTTGCGACCTTAAGGTACATTTTCTTTCATTTTTGTAATAATAAGCCAAGGACCTCTTTTTGCGCCATGAGGTTTGTTGTCACATATATACAAGTATATTCAGCCCAACTTGCAACAAATGGGAAATTATATCAATTCACGGCTGACTGACTGACTTTCTACCCCACCAGGACATCACACAAGCGATAAACACCCGATGACACAAAGTACCACCATGTGGATAAGGATCACCGTGGAGAGATCCCAGAAACCGCGTTCAGACAATTGGCCATATTGATGGCCTGCTTATATTGCGGTCCCTGGCAAAAGCCAGAGTGGTGCTTCAAATAACAAAAAATTACGTCCTAAAAAGGAAGTAATTAAAATATATAGGATATGTTATTTCAATTCACGCCGGTAGCTTGTGTTTATAGAGTGGTGCCAGAGTGGTGCTTCAAATAACAAAAAATTACGTCCTAAAAAGGAAGTAATTAAAATATATAGGATATGTTATTTCAATTCACGCCGGTAGCTTGTGTTTATAGGAAATGTCCTGACATCAGTTTAGGACTGATAAAAAGATGTATTCAAAACAGTGTTTACCTGTTGTAAATTTAGATAATGGGGACACAAACAATACATTGCACAATTTATTGCCTGGCAGGGTGCTGCGTGGTCTGGAGGCATGGTGTCCGCCGCGAGTGCTAGAGGTTCCGGAGTCAAGCCCTGATTTTTTTCACGTGGACTTCTAGTAATTCCCCTTGGTCTCTGTGTAGTAAGATCTGACGCCCTTAAAAAATCCCTTGGTAGTTGGAAATCGAAAAGAGTAGCCTAATAAGCGCTGCCCGGGCAAAATTTGGAGTTGAAAATCTACTCAAAATATTTCAGAATCCTCGCCGGTGCTACAGAGCCTGTGTACTGTGTTGGGCTTCTTCAGACTCGGACTTGAGTTAAAAGTAGAATGGAGCACTTATGGGTTACTACCCGTGTGCCATGATGTTGATCCGTTGTTCAAACCTTAAACCTTGCCTGCCCTATTTGGACGGTGTCTTGTTAGGTGCGTTACTCCAAACTTAAATCATAATATAATTTTTCACTTTCTTTGTGTGTGTGTGTGTGTGTGTGTGCGTGTGTGTGTGTGTGTGTGTGTGTGTGTGTGTGTGTGTGTGTGTGTGTGTGTTGATTTAACTTATGTGGTATGCACCTGATGAGATACAGTGAAAAATGCAATAAATTGTGCAATGTATTTTTTGTGTCCACATTATTTAAAAAGAAGTAGGTATCGAAATGATAAGGTGCATGTATAATAAAATCACCGTACCAGTGTGGGACGAATTTTTTTTGTTATTTTAGAGTCTCACCCTGGCTGTAGTCAGGAGCCTTATATATAACCTACAGGTTGCATGGGGTTTCTGTGACTTGCATCCTGGTGTTTCTGATCTGAATGGTGGCACTTTGTGGGGGAAAACAAGAGTAGACCCATTGCCTCCACAACAAGCATGTCGTAAGAGTCGACAAATTGGGAGTTTCCTTCGAAGTCAGAGTACATCTGTTTGAGAGGCAAGGAAATAATTGTCTGCATACAAATATGTCAGATCTGTAAAACGGATGTGCACGCAACACTCATGTTCTGGAACAAGTCTCAAGTTCCGAGGTGAATGAACAACCAGAACTTTCCTTTGAAGGCGAAGAAGAAGCAGAGGAAGACAATAAATCCTATTGCATAGTATCTGAAGAAACACTAACAAAATCCTGGAAGACCAGATCACTAATAAAATAGCCCGATTTCGTAGAACACAGAGCTGGAATCTAACCTCCGCCCCAACAACAGCTCTGTCTTCCCTTTAGAACAATTATGATGTTAAACAAATGAGTAATAATGTTGTAATATTTTTGTCAGACTGATACATTATTTCTTGTTACCATGTCAGATGTCCATGCAGCTGGAGGACACAGACAGCCCACTGGACATTAGCTGGCCAGACACTCTGACACAGAGGGTCACTTACGTTCTCCTCGCTCCAATCATTTTCTCGCTGTTTATCACTTTGCCAGACGTCAGGATACCTGTATGATCTATGTTTATTAATTGTTTGTATATGTCGTTTTATGATAACATTGTGGTGACTTTGTGTTTTAGACCAGTTATTGAGAGTTGCATGACATTTTACAAGAATATAGGCACTCAGGTAACATTTACTGCTGTTTGGTAGTGAAGCGTTACCAGAAAATGTTTCTTCTACTTCTTCTTTCCCACCTTTTTCTTCTGTTCATCCTCTTCCTTCTTCATCTTTAAATAGGCAGTCGGCATGTTACGTTATGTTTTACAGCTAGGCTGTGATATTTGCGTCTTTCAGCCAAAAACATGTGTGTTTCAGGAGATACTTAATTAGCTTTGTTTTACGATATGCTTGTTACGGAGCATTGGGTTTCACCAACCCCCTCCCCCTCCTCCCCTCCCATTTAAACCCACAAGGAGATGAGAACATTCAAAAGCCTGGATTTTGTATCCAGTATCTGTTCTACAACCAGGGGAGTAGACTGCAAGAGCATTTGAAAAGGCTAAGTTCAACATGCAGAAGATATAGCATGAAAATAAAGACTGCTAAAACTGAAGCAATGCAGGTCAGCAGAATTGCTAGCCCGCTACACATCGGTTGAAAGGTACTTGTCTGAAGAAAGTTAACAGAATTTAAATATCTAAAAGTAAATTCTCGGAGGACAGGAGAAAAGATCGGGAAATAGGAACAAGATGCCAGCGAGCCAGTGCACTTATATACCAACTGACACTGTTATTGCGACATCCAAACATAAGTATGAGCGCCAAGAAACAAATTAAGAAGAAGTAGAAGAAGAAGAAAACATATATTATCAAAGGATAAACTACGTAAAATTAACACCTTTGAAAAGAGATGACTGAGAAAATCCGCCAAGTTAACCATTTGAGACAAAGTTAGAAATGATATTATCAGACAGACTGTAGGAACAACACCACGCAGCACACTCACTGAGAAACAGAAAATCAAATGGTTTAGTCATATAGTAAGAATGTAGCCAGAACAACTACCAAAGCAGGCGCTACACGTGAAAAGTTCTGGTGAAATCAAAGGCCATCCTAGGATAAATCGATTGATGACATTACAGGGTTTCTACATCGACACGGAATGACAATAGCCATTGCTGCTCATCAAGTAATAGATCGCAAATTGTCCCTCCCCTCAACGCTTAACGGCAGAAGTGGAAATTGATGACGATGATGATGTCTGTCCTGGGCATCCCCCTCTGTTAAATATCATTGTCATGATTGTATTTATAGATATTTTTGTGGCTAACAAGCATGATGGCAAGGAAAGGGCATATAGACATTTAATCAAACTGCTTTTCGCAGCATCGGATTTTTAATTGTTCACTGGCTGTTGAAGACGAGGATGGAGGGGATATGGGAATGTCGCGAAAGCTATGGTGTCAATTCTTAGCTCAGCACTTAACCATGGTGTAGCGGGTGGAGCAGCAAATTCTGTCTCTGTCATGAGTTTGGAACATGCCGGCTTCAAATGACAAGCAAGGCAACGTCGTCATTTAGATGCGGCAGGTTAGAATTTCAGTGTGATCTCTATTGCTTTCAATTTGTCTTCTTCTTCTTTGCGTTCACCAGCTGTAAACTATGGCGGAAAAGTCTCGTTGTTCATCCACTTCTGGACTGCAGTCCTGTTTCAAAACCTGCGTGTTGCGTGTGCATTCGTTTCACAGATCTGGCTCATTTGTATGCAGATTACTAGTTCCTTGCCTCTCAGGCAGATGCACTCCGACTTCGAAGGAAGCTCCCAATTAGTCGACTCTTACGACATGCTTATGGGTAGGCAGTGGGTCTATTCTAGTTTTTTTTTATATTTGTGTTGTGTCAACTGATCACTACTGCTTGCCTTTACTTATATTAGAGTTTAAATAATCTCTAAATGTATATAATGTTGATTTCAAGCATAAATTATTAAACTATTTTATACTGATAAACGTGACACAGAGAAACACAACACTCTTACTTCACACCATCTTCTTCCTCTCCTCCTCCTCTTCTACCTTCTTCTTCTTCTTCTTCTTCTTCTTCTTCTTCTTCTTCTTCTTCTTCTTCTTCTTCTTCTTCTTCTTCTTCTTCTTTTCTTCTTCTTCTTCTTCTTTTTCTTCTTCTTCTTCTTCTTCTTCTTCTTCTTCTTCTTCTTCTTCTTCTTCTTCTTCTTCTTCTTCTTCTTCTTCTTCTTCTTCTTCTTCTTCTTCTTCTTCTTCTTCTTCTTCTTCTTCTTCTTCTTCTTCTTCTTCTTCTTCTTCTTCTTCTTCTTCTTCTTCTTCTTCTTCTTCCTCTTCTTCTTCTTCTTCTTCTTCATCTTCTTCTTCTTCTCCTTTTTCTTAGCATTCCCCGGCTGTAAACTCCAGAGGAAAGTTCTGGCTGTTCGCTTGTTCCAGAACTTGAATTTCCGTTTGACAGATCTGGCTTATAAGTATGCAGACTGTTGATTCCTCGCCTGTCAGGCAGATGGATTCAACACTAATCAGTCGCCTCCTACGACGTGCCTGTTAAGGGAGCAGTAGGTCTATTCTTTTTCCTCCCTAAAATGGGGTCCAGGAACCCACATGCAGGAACTTCCTGCCAGAATTGTGTACCAGCGATAATTCATGTCTCAAACTCGGAGGGGGGGGGGGGGGGGGGGTGGCAGAATATGGGAGCTTATGCATGGTAAATGCGCTTAGCTACCCCTTCAGTAGCCATGTATAGGAGATCTCTTTTTTTTCACATTTTGTTTCTATAAGTAGTTTTTTTTTAATGTATTCCCATATTTTTTGTCATACAGTACATAATAATAATAATAATAATAATAATAATAATAATAATAATAATAATAATAATAATAATAATAATAATAATAATAATAATAATAATAATAACATAAAGGTTAGGCCCTTTGAGGAACTTCCCCTCCCCACCCCCTATAAAATATGTAAAGGAACTAAGCGTCTCCCTCTCCCCTACCAATTGTTTTCTCAATGTCGGCGCCCCTGGGTCTCAACAATAAAGTAAAAAACAGAAACTATAACATCATTGGCAACTAGAAGACCTCATTGCCATCGACATCATTCTAAAGTTATTTGTGCTGCAAATTTTTGTTACTAACATAATTTTCTGTATGATTAACTGCACATTGGTACACGATTAGGAGCGACGGAAATTGTTTCCGTGGACTTTTGTAGGCAGCATTTTGTGGATCGCTGGCTTTTCTTATTGTCTGGTGTGGTGGGCAAAAGAAGCAGGAGGCGCCGTTGAGATTCCAGACACGGTAACCATTCTTTCATTGCCATTAATGTTGACCTTATTTGCTGTTCCGTTTATTTATTTCAGCTCTGTTGCAACTTTCCCTTTTATGGATAAGCTTTGCAGGATAACAAGTTAACATACGCTAACGCTAACGTGCGCCGCTTGGCGCGCGCACACACTACGTTTATCTGTTATAGATTGTTGGCTATTGATATTATTCTTTTTACCAAGTTTTCTATTTATGCACGAGGTGGACCCGAGATACTGAAGTTATAGTGTTTTTCCATTTCTCTAAACTATAGTAAGTAAAGTAAAGTTCCGTTTTTACGCCTTCTATCGCATCGGGCATTTGTAAAGAGCATCCAATATTTTTTACAGACCAATCAGCGTTAGGTGGGTAATGTGGTCAGCATTATGCCAGCCGTCTTTACTTCCCCAGAACATGCATCCTGATACCCATTTTAGGCTGGGTCGACCTGCGACGCCCCATACCACGATAAAAATCCACGCATCCAGCAGTGGGTTTCGATCTCGGTACCTTGGAATTACGAGTCAGAATGGCAACTCCTAAGCCACATACGCCGCTTTTCTCTAAACCATATTCTGTCTTTAACCGTCAGGTTTTGAAGAGGCATCTGTTGCAAGCCGTGTGTGTGGTGTCACACAGATACTGGTATTCACGACCTCGGATTTGTTATCTATTCATTGCTTGCATGGGCGACCTCTAGACTGCTTCAGTTGTGACTAGGTGACAGGTGCGCTACTTTATGGTCGTTTTGACACATGTCCGAATCACGTGAACTGTTGTCTCTTGATGTAGATTAGGACTGGTCCCATCCTGCCGTATTTCCTGCTATGGTGCTGAATGACTTGTCCATTTTACAAAGAAGTTAGTAGTGGAAGGCAACCCTCAGTCCCTTAGGACCACGGAGCTGTGCCGCTGGTTTTGGGACTTTCCAGGGCACCCGCCTGCGCATATTGTATTGGGGCACAGGCTGTTTCCCAGGCAGCAGCTACCCCCTCTCTACGTCGCCGGTAATGCCAAGGGAAGGGCGTATGCCGATACAGCTTGGCAACAAAGAAGTTAAGGAATTGCAGCAGCAGCCGTGTAAGCACTGTTGAACCGCCTTAGGAATTCAAGCTCCGAATCTGTCCTCAGGGTTTACTCCCAAAGCACTTTCCTTAAATAGGGTATTGCCAAAAGGCAAAGCTGGTTTGCGATCAGAGTATTCTTTCTCATAGATGAGATGGATTTCCATGCTGACGATCCTCATCTGCCCGAGGTTTAAATTCAGTTTTCCTTCTCCTAGATGAGCTGGATTTCCATGCTGACGAGCCTCATCTGCCCGAGGTTTGAATTCAGTTTTCCTTTTTCTAGATGAGCTGGAATTTCATGCTGACGATCCTCATCTGTCCGAGCTTTGAGATTAGAGTTTTCATTCTCCTAGATGAGATGGATTTCCATGCTGACAAGCCTCATATGCCCGAGGTTTGAGATCAGACGTTTCCTTTTTCTAAATGAGCTGGATTTCTATGTTGACGAATCTTATCTGCTCGAGGGTTGAGAACAAATTTTCCTTCTAGATAAGCTGCTAATTCCATGCTGACGAGCCTCGTCTGTCCGAGGTTTGAAATCAGTTGTCCTTCTCCTAGTTGATCTACACTATACAAAAGATAGGAGCTATGAAAGCGCCATAGCTATTCCGACTATCTTAGACGACGGTGGTCATTAGTTTAAATTCCCTGTGCTACAAAGCTTTGTGGCTCAAGACCACCAGAAGCCACCGGATGATTTACCCTCCCCCCCCCCCCTCTCACACTTCTTTGCGACTTCAAAAATCATGCTCTTCTGGGTTGCAATCTAACAGGGCGATACCCACAAACTCCGTCAATCTCCACAGGGAGGAAAGGGGGGGGGGGAAGGGGGGTCAGTTGCGTGACATTTACAGGACATTGCAGAACCAACCACAGCATTTTTTGGCAGTTGTGGGTTTTCTAGGCAAATTTATGTTGAGTAGTTTTCATTCTCCAAAGAAAATAGTAATTATGATACAAGTGACAGTTGCGCCAACGTGTCTACCCTGTCAGTTTGTTTGGGTAAGGGATGTGTACGCAACACTTTATGTTGATTTGAATATAATTACAAAAAATATTTAATAGAACTGTGCTTTTTTTTTTATTTATGCATAGTGCTTCAATGATGTCAACAAATATTCTTGTTTAACTTTAATTTCATCTTATTTGCAGTAAGCCTTTATACGATATTCGGTTTAAAAAAAGGTGTAAAGGTAAATAAATGAAGCTTGCTTGGCGCTTGCGCTGTTTTCAATCACGTAATCGGGTGTCACTGTTTAAATGTATGGTTATATCAGTGTGAGCACACACATATCTTTTTTCCTTGTCAAGAAATAACAAGTTTCGCCTTTTAACTTTGGCCCTGAACTGAACTGACTGAACTGACTTTCTACCCCACTAGAACATAACACAAGCGATAAACACCTGATGACACAGACTGCCACCATGTGGATGAGGACAACCCTTGGAGAGGTCCTAGAAACCGCCTTCAGCCATTAGACCATATTTATGGCCGGGCTATATTGCGGCCCCATGGCAAGAGCCAGGGTGGGGCTTCAAAATAACGAAAAAAATGTCATCCCACAAGGAGATGACTAGTTAACTTTAGCCCTATCTATTTATATCAAATAAACACCCACAAGGCTCTACATCGCAAGAGCAGAAGACTTAGATAAGTGTTCTTGCTGGGAGGAAATGAGCGGGTAGATTGGGATGAGTATGAGTTATATATCAAACTTCTTGTAATGTAAGACGAATCTGCAATGTAACTGCCATGGAATTTGTATTAACAAATTATTTATATTAGTGCAATGATCTCGATGCATGGTGTCCACCTCGAGTACTAGAGATTCCGGGTTCAATCCCCGGTAAGGGCTGGGATTTCTTTTTCACGGGGACTAGGACTTCTAGTAATTTCCCCCGGTCTCTGTGTAATAAGATTGGACGCCGTGTGTACGTTTTGGGTGAAAAATCCCTTGGCAGTTGGAAATAAAAAAGAGTAGCCTGACGGCGCTGCCCGGGCAAAATTTGGACTTAAAAATCTACCCAAAGTATTTCAGGATCCTCGCCGGTGCTACAGAGCCTGTGCACTGTGCACTCGGACTCAGACTTGAGTTTGAAGCAGAACGGACCTCTTATCGGTTACTACCGTGTGCCCTGACGTTGATCCGTTGTTCAAAACTGAAATCTTTTGTTAGTGCATCGGTCTACAGTGTCTAGCTCCCTTATTTCAGCACAAGGAAAGTAGGTAAAGCACCTTTTTCACACCAGTGGTGCATCGAGCAGATAATGCTAGATTAATGATTTATCTTCAGGTGATGTGTTCAGCAGCACACCGGTCGCCTTTACTTCTCAGGATTTTACCTGGTACCCATTGTAAACTAGGTCAACCTGGGAGCCAGACTCCTGCGGATTCAAATCCACAACTTTCAAGCCGGTAGATGGAGCGTCTAGCCGCTACACGACGCGACTCGCTTATTTAAGCAGTGGCAACAAATTTGCAAGGGCGAAATTCATGAGTTTCTCAGTGGGGTAGATGGCTGAAGAACAAATGGAAGGCTAAGTTTTTCCTCTCTCGATAAAATACTACCAACCTAGATCTTCTTCTTCTGCACGTTCACTGGCTGTAAACTGTCGGAAAGTTCTGGTTTTTTGTCTTCCTCTGGACTTCAGTCTTGTTCCACAACCTGCGCGTTTCGTGCACATGTTTAACAGATCTGACTCAACTGTATGCAGATTGTTGGTTCCTTGTCTCTCGGCAGATGCACTCCAACTTCTAAAAAAACCCTTAATTAGTCTACTCTTACGACATGCTTTCTGGGGTGGCGAAGGGTCTGTTCTTGTTTTCCCCACAATGGGGCCCCGGAATCCACACTGGGTCAACCCAGATCTAATAGCAAGACAAGTAATATTTTATCCAAAGATTTACGGACCAGGCTAATGAATAGAGAGAAGTGATATTCGCTAAATGAACAGGACTTGACTCGAGTAAAAAGAAAATGAGGAAAATAGGTTTGTTTCATATATGGACCGTGTTAACACAAGGTTACTATTAGCATTTCTTTATGCTAATTTTTTTGTCTTTTCTTTTCAGGTGATGGGGCTCACAGTTCTAGCTGCAGGCGCCAGCATCCCGGACCTTATCACCAGCGTCATTGTGGTTCGGAAAGGGTTTGGAGACATGGCTGTGTCCAGTTCTATCGGAAGTAACATATTTGATATAACAGTTGGGTGAGGCGTTATTTCAGGACAAGTACGGGCATTTTAAGTAATTAGGCCCATGGATAACATTCGATGGAAGATGTATTATGGAGACAACGAATAGAACAGGACAGACCAAAACTAAATTTTATATGTTGAAGAACATTTTATGCAATAAATCCATGTTATTGGAGGTTAGGAAAAGAATTCTTGCATTCTACATGAGCCAGTTTTAACATATGGCTGTGAAGCCTAGACAATTAATAAATAGGCCGAACAATATGTTGAGGCCTCGGAGATGTGGTTTTTCAGACGAATCTGTAGAATTCCCTGGACAGCTAAGAAGAGCAACCCAGATGGTTTTTTTTAATCATGTTATGACAAGATGGGGGAGTCGCCGTGGCACAGCGGCTAGACGGACCTAGCGGATCGGAAGGTTGTGGGTTCGCTCCCTGGCGGAGCTGAACTTCTCTTCAAAAATGACCTTGGTCGACCCAGCCTTAAGTGGTTACCGGGTGCAGTCCCGAGAAGTAGAGGCGGCCGGCGTGATGCTGACCACATCACCCATCTTGTGCTGTTGGTCTATAAAATATAGGTCTAGCCCTATATGCCGTATACGCCTAAAGGCGTGGAAAAGGGTCCTTTACTTTACTTTACTTATGACGAGATGGAAAATGGAACATGTTTATGACCACTGGAAAGATCTGTACAAAGAGACAGATGACGACAGCTTGAGAAGATTCTTGACAGTCTTATGTCGTGGCATGGAGGGGTGTCAACACACGAATGAATACACACAGTTGCAGATTGTGGAGAGGTATGATCGCCCAAGAAAGTTGGCAAGGCACTTGATGATGATTGGGCTCAGACTGCTTTTGTAGGTTTATGTTCCTTTTCCTGCCATGAAGCTCATAGTGCGGGATAAGCCCTTATCCAGCTCACACTAAGTCGATCTATTCTTAATTCTAACATGCAACCCGCCCAAGCCATCCCCAGCTTGTTAAAGTAAACAGTAAAGGACTCTTGTCATGCCTTTTAGGGAGCTGCGTGGTCTTGAGGCATGGTGTCCACCTCGAGTTCCAAAGATTCCAGGTTCAATCCCCTGTAAAGACTGGGATTTTTTCACGTGGACTTGGACAAATTCCCCCTGGTCTCTGGGTAGTGAGATCGGAGGCATTGTTGCGCACGTAAAAATCCTTTGGCAGTTGGAAGTGTAGCTAAACGGCTCTGCCGGGCAACATTTGGAGTTAAAAATCTACCTAAAGTATTTCAGGATCCTCGGCGGTGCTACAGAGCCTGTGCACTGCGCTGAGCTTCTTCGGACTCAGGCTTGAGTTAGAAGAAGAACAAAGTACTTATGGGTTCAAACCTCAAACTTTATGCCTTTAGCTCATCAAGCATTTAGTGTAAGACTATATATTCTTTTAATTAGCATCAACAGTTATAAGACACAGAAGATGGCGCTATATATAAACATTCTGAGAATTACTAAAGAGAAACTGAAATGGAAAACTGAGGGACTGAGGAAATGAGAACATTCAACAGAAACCCTAAGGTGAACAGAAATGATAGCAGCCAAAGTGATTGCCCAGGATAGAATGTAATGGAAAAACAGACAGTGAGCCCTATGTGACTTTTAATAGCACCAGAGGACAATAAATATTTTGTTTCTATAGACCAGTCGGCTTTGAGTAGGTGACATTGTTGAAATTTTTTTTTTTAAAGCTGCCTTGTTGATTAGAACCCTAGAACTTCTGGGCAGCAGGCGAATGCCTAGCTACTACAGTACCGCGGTTCCCATAGTGTTTCTCATAAAAATGTTTAAAACATTCTAAATTCCCCTTGTGTGTGTTGCAGGGCTCTGTTCTGGAGAACAAAGAACAGACCCACTGTGCTTTTCCTAACAAGCATGTCACAGAAGGCAAATAATAAGGTGTGTTTCCTTCAAAGTTTGAGTGCATCTGACTGAGAACCGAGAAACAAACAGTCTGCACACAAATAAGCCAGATTTGTTAAAAAAAAAGGATGTGCAGAGAAACTCAAGTTCTTAATCAAGACCAAAGTCCAAGAGTGGATGAACAACCAGAACTTTTTGTCTGGAATTTACAGTTGGTAAACACTAATAATAAAAAAAAGATTCTATGTTCTTGGCCAGTTTATCAACAACAAAAAAGTAATATTTTATATATTAAATGATAACTTCTTCTTCTTCTTCTCTCCCCAGCCTTCCCATACCGTGGCTCATTTACAGTACCATTAACTCCGGAAGTGCTTACACAGTGACAAACAAAGGACTGTTGTGCTCCATCTTGCTGCTGTTCCTCATACTTCTGGCTCTGGTCGCTGGCATTGCTGTATCAGACTGGAAACCCAGCAGAACCCTTGGTGTCTCCATGCTGTTCCTATATCTTATATTTGCTACTTTGTCAGTTCTTCTGGAGCATGAAATAATTGTCTGTCCTTCAATTTAAAACATACGAAGCATTTAAACAAAAAAAAGATTAGTTGTATGAATGTAAGTTGTACCCCACCAGGACATCACACAGATAAACATCCAGTGACACAAAGTGTCACCATGCAGGTGACACATAGGTCGGTATAGACAGGGGGTCGTAACCCAGAGGATTTAGGACCGCAGGGCTAGTGCTATCGCCACGGACTGTTCATATTAGGATCACCCTTTGAGAGGTCCTGGAAACCCTGTTCAGCCGTTTGGCCATATTTCAGGCCTAGCTATATTTGGGGCTCTCTGCAAAAGCCAGGGTGGGGCTTAAAATAACAAAAAATTGCATCCCATAATGGGGACGTCTTTATGTAAGATTAGTTGCATATCCTTTACAGGACATTGTAGAATCAACTTAATATTTGTGGGTACTCAGTATTTTACTTGGGAAGTTGTCGTGGTGTAGCGGCCAGACTCTTGCCTGCGGATCGGAAGATCATGGGTTCAGATCTTGCCAGAGTCGGACTGTTTTCATAAAATCACCTTGACTCTCAGGTCGACCCAGCCTTCAGTAGGTAGCAGGTGCAGTCCTGGGAAGTAAAGGCAGACAGTGTGATCCTAACCACATCACCCTCCAAGTGCCAATTGGTTTAGAAAATATAGGTCTAGCCCTATATGCCTGAAGGCGTGGAATATTTTACAGGGCAATTTTACATTCAGTAGTTTGCCACTGAACTCTTAACAGTCGGCACTCCATACTGTTATCACAATTAAGGCCAAGTGCTCTGCTACTAAGCACCCACAGCTGGAATAGAACAGGGTATTTCAGAACGCACAAGCCATGGAAGAGTAAGCACAAATTAACTCTGTCAATTTGAGAAAGCCAATTTTCGAAATTTGTTGATGACATGACGTCTCTGGGCAGTGGCCAACACAGCTTTGGTACCGATTGCAGCCACACAGTGAGTAGGCATGGTGGGTATGCTTATAGTGAGAAAAAAAAATGTTGATTATTAATAATTGGGGTGAAAAAAAAAAAACTTATGATGACATAACTTTGCTCTCTCTGGCTTTGTTGATCAAACTCTTGCCTTCACAATCCACCGACTACAATCTCTCCTTCACAGAAGGAATGTCTACATCTTTACATTTCCATACAATCTTTCAACAACTCTTCGACCCCACAACAACAGCTTCATGCAGATTTGACATCAAAAGTGAAAGCTCGCCTAACAATGGAAATTAAAACTTGCGCTAGGATTGAGGCAAAAAAAAAAAAATGGATCAGAAAACAAAACCAAGATGCCGATGTGATCGTCACTGCCACTAAGTAGTTCGTGCTTTGTGCGACAAACTTTTATGAAACACACATTAAAAGCCATTCAAAGCAATGTGAAGATTTAAAACAAACAGTCCGTTAAACAATTTTCAAAGATGGTAGCATTAGTCACCAACGGACATGCTACAACATATATACATTTTAATCACATTGGGCAACCAATAATGCAACTCCAGATGTTAAAAGTCTTTTTTTTAGTGACCTGGGAGCCGTGATTCTGCAACAGCTGGTCAAAATTTCAACAACTAGATTTTTTCAATGAAAACTGACCAATGTCTATTGCTGCTTCTTGTCTACCTCTGGTTTGCTTGGGGAGAATTTTAGAAAAGTATAACAATGTGTGGAAGCTGTCGTGGTGTAGCGGCTATACTCTCGCCTGTGGATCAGAAGGTGGTGGGTTTGATTCCTGATGAGGGCCGGCCTTTTAAAAAAAATTGACCTTGGCTCCCATGTCGACCCTGCCTCGAGTGGGTACCAGGTACAGTACTGGGAAATAAAGGTGACCGGCGTGGTGCTGACCACATCACACACCATGTGCCGATTGGTCTACAAAATATATGTCTAGCCCTATATACCCAATATGCATGAAAGGCGTGGAAAAGGGTCCTTTAATTTTACTTTATAGCAATGTGTCTGATTTAAATTATATTTTGAAAAAAAAAAGGGTAATTTTTTTAAAAACAGATTTTAATGGGGTGAGTGTTCAGTGTGTGCTCTTCAATTTAAAACAAACCAGTTCAGTGTAAATTATTTTATGCACTCAAATTTGAAATATAGGAGAGCTGAGCATAAATTAAATGTGTGCCTTTCAATTTAAACCATACAAGAGTTAAGCAAACAATTCAACTGCAAATGACAAAAACTGATTTACAAGTATACATTATATTTTATTCTTTTGGATAAAAAAAATGGAATGTGTGAAGGAAGAACACAATGAAAGAATATGTTCACGCACTGACAAGCTATCAATAAACCATTAAAAAAAAAAAAAAAAAACAGTAATTATTTATATCATCGGACTAATTTTTTGACACTTAAAAAAGACTTAAAGTACAATAGGCATATCTGACCAAATAACTAGTAAACTTTTGGGCCTTTCAATAAACACAACATTCACTATTCATCCAAGGATTAATATTTTTTGTTAACATTTTGTTTTGTATGTCAACTGGTATGGCAAGTTGTTGCTATTGAAAATATTCTTCTTAACATGCCAACAGCATTGATTTGTGTTGTTTCATATCAGACAAATTCCTCTTATGTTTGAAATTTACGTAAATTTGTGTAACCTCAACTGTAGTTACCTTTGCTGCCATGCCATCTGACTCGACATTCAATTCCTACTTACAATTAATGATGCATCTCTTGATGTAACAGTAAATCTGGTCTTAATGTAACATTCTTGAAATCCAGACAAATGTAAAATACTGTCCTCCTTAGCAGACAGCACATGTGTGTGTGTGTGTGTGTATACACATACATATTCAGTGTATCCTGACAGTTAACATATTTCCTGATTACCATTAAGTGGCTCATCAACTGGAGTTGCTGAATGTCTACTCGTTCCCCCCCCCCTTTCCTCTCTATTATGTTGTTTATCAGCTTATGTGTCTGGCTCAGAGGTTAGCGAATGTTGTTTACAATTTTATGATCCTTGAGTACTAAGATTCGCTCCTAATGATGGACAATAAAAAAGAAATTTAAAAAAAAAAAAAAAAAAAACCCTGTAGACAGCGGTATGACCTGTGACAGGGAAGAGATGAGAACCTCACCATGTGATATTCCCAAAGACAGCAGTGGCACACTTCACTGTGGAGACGGCACATATTGCTGTGTGAGGGTACTAAGATTATTCCAAAATAGATTACTAGGCTGTCTAGTATCCTCTCTCTCTGTTGCCCCCTAATCTGTTTTTCAACCACACATACTATACGAATAGACTCCAGCTGTGTCCATTTCAATCCCAGCCTCAGAAGCATCAAGTTCATTTATTAAATATTAATTTGTCTTCGTTAAGTGACTATAGCAACCAGCAAACAATACACAGACTAATTACTTAAGCAACAAACAAATACATTTATTAACTACACAATATAAAATCTAGATGTTTTAACTTCTGGCTTATTCAGCAGCTGCTTTAATGTCTCAATAGTTTTAACTCATTCTTACTGAAATTCTTATTAATTTTAAATGTTCACACCTATAAATGGTATTTTTTAATACAACTTTTCCAAGGGAGCTGTAATGGCAAAGTTGCTGGCAAGCTTATCTACCAACTCGGTGTTTACTGGCCCAAATTTGCAAACTGGCTTCTAGGTCTATGAAGCCTAAAAAGGATACAATGAAATGTCCTTAAAAGTAAAAGCAGCAGTGCAATGCACACCATATTATATGATGAAGTGCTGATTAGTGCACAAATGTATAACGTTAGTATCCTACGCTTCAGGTGCTTTAAGGCAGTGTTCTTTAACCCACCAAAGAAATGTGCATGCTGGCCGCCAAAATTGTTTGCCTAATCAAGTAACCGGGTCGGGCATGTGGTCTTTCTCTGCTAGAATTGCAGCCTGTAAGATCAATAACTCAAGGATGCCCCCCCCCCCCCCCCCCCCCCCGCCCCCCCCCCGCCCAAAAACATATTTTGGAAACCCTGTTCAACTGATAAAACAGTTTTAAAAAATATTACCCAAAAAAAAAAAAAAAAAAAAAACCGACAGAAAACAAATTTATTGCCGCTCTTCATCTATCAGAAATGCTCCAGCCACATATATTATTCTATAACTTCTATAATTTTGCATTAGCTGAAAATAGTAATTTAGTGACATCTATTTAAACAAATAAACTGCTATCTACATTTGTTTTTTGTTTGTTTGTTTCATATCTGAGGAACAATGCTTTAAGGTATGAAAGGGTTCTTTATTTTACAACTTTTTAAAACTGGACAATCTTAAAGTAACACTGCCTGAAACTGCCTAAGTTCACATGCTGTGACCTGTTTTTTTACAACACACACAACAAAACATGACCATCCTTCCTCCCAGGAATTACTATGTGATCTCAGGACAGTTAGTCTCCTAACAAATTATGCAACAATAACATGATTACGCATAGTCATGAAAGATATGTACATATTATATCATCTTTTACTACACATTTTCTCACTCTCAACAAATGCAACCAACATACACAATGTTATGTACAAGCCATAATCACACACAAAATAGTAATTATAAAAAAATACCCATTCAAACATTTTGCAAAATCAACATTTTCATCTAAATTTTATGGTATTAAAGAAACCAGTCAGGAATGTATATAAAAACAGTGACAGGCACTTGACATTCTGTAAGAGCCAGTTGTTCATATAATCCATTTTTGGGGAAATATAAACTTAATAATTAACCTGATTTTCATAATCTTTATTAAAAAAGCCAGCTGCAAAAACTAAACTATTGGCCCTTATGAACTCTCTCATCTTAACCGGCAAAGATGTTACCAAAATATAAATTTGAAAAAGAAAAAAAAATTGAGGTACTAAATAACTGAAAGTTAAGTAAAGTAAAGTAAAGGACCCTTTTCTACGCCTTTAGGGCATATAAGGCTAGACCTATATTTTTATAGGCCAAACGGCATAAGACGGGTGATGTGGTCAGCATCACGCCGGCCGCCTCTACTTCCCGGGACTGCACACGGTACCAACTCAAAGCTGGGTCGACCTGGGAGCCAAGGTCATTTTTGCAAAAAAGTCCGGCTCCTCCAGGCAGCGAACCCACGACCTTTCAATCTGCGGCGAGCATCTTGCCGCTCCGCCACGGGGACTCGCTAACTGACAATAACTAAGCATTATATCTTGCCAAAATGAAAATTTCACTCTAAACATCAGGTAACCTTAAAAACAGAAATCTTGGTCTACATTTTGAAGACATAAAAGTTTTTTTCACTCTTGCATAGGCATTATTTTATAAAATTTACCTCTGCTATAAACTTCAGATATTTAGGCCTAATTTCAAATTATCAGAATGATGAACTCTCCATGCAAAAACTACAAACCCACTACAAGCAGGGAAATAACTGCAATCATGACAGACAACAAAAGATTTGGACTTAAGGAAATCCCACTGTCAGGACTAACACAGGTGTATTTGTGCAGATTCTCGGTCTGCGACAGGAATGATTCCCCTAACCAGTCTTTGTAATTCTGTCTCTCCTCTGGAATCCTCATTAGCCTGACAGCTGCATCTGTGAAGATCAAATCTGTGTACCAGATTCCGGAGTCAAACATGTGGAAGTCTCCATCTCTGAAAATTAAAAAAAAGTTTTTATAAAAATATTTATGCCATGATTGTTATGTTTTTTATAAGATTTGCTTTTAATCATCAATTTCCACTTCTGCTGTTAATTATGAATATTATCCATAAAGCCGTCCTCACGTAGGATACAAGTTTTTGTTATTTGAAGCTCCACCCTGGCTTCTGCCGGGGGCCCTGAATATAACCGGGCCATGGATATGGCCACAACGGCTGAAAGGGGTTTCTGGAACCTCTCCACGGTTGATCCTCATCCGCATAGTGGCACTTCGTGTCACTGGGTGTTTATCGCTTGTGTGATGCCCTGGTGGAGCACAACTACCTACCTACTTGCCAGCCATTAAACGTCGTAGGGAGGAACAGTTTACACTTTAGTGCTTGATTGGGGGGGGAAGGGGGGCGGCAGTGGCTCTTGTCATTCCGTGTCAATGAAGAAGCTTTGCAATGTCATAAATCCATATTCACTAGGGTGACCTCTTACTTTCACACCAGCTGCTAGACTGGATTCTATCCATGATACTGAATTGTTTGTACAGGATAGAACAGAATGGAGGAATAGACTGCGGGCTCTGTGTTGCATATGATGGCTTAACAGGATAACGAATGAATGAGTGTACATCATTGCAGAAAATGAAACAAAACTTACATGTCCGACGAGAAAAACTGCTGGCCATAGTTAAGGAGACTCCAGATGATATCCTTCTGTATGGGAGACTTATCAGCTGAGGAATGATGAGCAAATAGCAATAGAATATTTACTTCTGATACCAAAACTTGTATACAAAATGGAGACAACAAAAAGATACATCTGCTAAAAGAGAAAGAAATTTTAAATAAGGAATAAACCAAAAAAAATTAATAAACCAGTAACAAATAAAGAAGAAGCAGCAAAGAAAGAGGACTAAAGTTTACATTCTTGTCCAGATGTTGACAAGACTCCCTCATACTAAAGTACAAAAATGTTCGACCACATTTCGTACAGTAACAATCCAATTTATCAATTTCTCAAAAAAAAAAACGGGTCAGGCTAAATGCCACAGCGGCACAGAATAGACAGTAATGTAAATGGAAGACAGTTTCTAGAAGAATCATCTGGGGTTGACCAGCATAAAGGAAAGGGGCTGGGGGGGGGGGGGGGGGGTACATGATAATGGGGATTCCTTGGGTATGCAAATATATAAGCTAGGGAAATCTGCAAAAAACAAGTGGTTTTAGAGCAGACCTTGATAGCGGTATTGTTTGTAAAGGAACTGCTGCATGATAGAGGTAACAATAAAAACAAAATAATCTGTATTTATACTTCCCTGACTACATAAAAGAATGTACACACAGAGATACTGGTGGAAAAAAAAAGTGCCAGGTGTGACAATGTGAGTAGCTGATTTAACACAGAATGCTTTTTGTCTGTGCCCAAAGTGGTTTGTATTGTGAACTATGTATTCAGAAATTGAGAGGTGCTAGGAAACTGGCAGTGATATCTGTGCTGACTGCTGCTTCCATTGATGATCAACTGCAATTCTAGTAGCGGACAGCTGGTGTTCGCACCTCTAGCAGCAGCTGTCATATGGAACATATTGGGTTTGCCAGAACTGCCGTCTGTTTCACTTTTCACATGTGACGGTGACTGGCATTTTTAGTGGTCTTTGCAGGGACAGGAGCAGAACAATTATGGGACAACCTGTCTGCCATGATTTACACACACACACAAAAAGACAATAACCGAACAAAAAACCTACCTGAGGTAACAATGGCATTGGAAGGAACATATCCAAGGTGGCATTCTTCAAAGCGATCAACGTTGAGTCGCCGGCCATCCTTGCAGAGTAGTTCGTAGTCATCTGACCTCCTGTTCCTAGCCCATATGGCATGATTACGGCCATCTGTGTTGTCTCTTACAGTCAAATGACGGACAAATGCTACATCCCCGCCCTCTGAAACCACATATTAACATGTAAGGATATGAGAACTGAATGGGGGATCATCTCAACCCATCTGTGTTTCAAAAAAAAAAAAAAAAACATCATTGCAGTGTCTAGTTGTCACTATAGTGAAAAATATTATGTTCCAAACATCATAACTTAGTGAGTTTGTGATCAACTTAAAAACCAAACTCCTAGTGTTACTTGACATTAATATCTTCTTAAAGTCCATGCTGTGTGGCATTGGTAGTCATGTCTATCCACAACCTTCTGTCTCGTGTACTTTCAATCAACTCTGACACAGATGATCTTCCATGTCAAACTGTCCAGCATCTGCTCTCTCAGTCTCCCTCTGCCTCTCCTCCCCTGCAACTTTTCTACCGTCACGATGTACTCCAGTTTTCTCTTTCTTATAAGATGATCAAATATTGTAGATTGTCCCTTTCTGATGTGGGCAATCAGTTCTCTTCATGAGCCAGTTTCTTTCAAGACGTCTTCATTACTCTTTTTTATCTGTCCAGGGTTTTCTCATCATTCATCTATAAAATCACATAGCATCTTCCAAAAAAGTGTTCACTAATTTACTAACTGTCCATAATTCACATCCATATATCAATATAGGATTTATATAGCTTTTAAGAATTCTCTTTTGTCTCAATTGACAAAGAAAGACTGCACAAAATATTCTTCATTTTTTTTTTAAATTCACATCTTTAAAATGAATTTAAGGTTTATTTTAAATTATTACATTATAAGCACATGATCATTTCATCATAATATCAGGACAAATAACTACATTCTGAATTGATTTAGCCATGTCAGCCCAAGAAAGTCCTTTACGCTGCATTTACAGGCTTTTATGATATGATGTCTCTGGGCAGTGGCCACTACATCTATTTTAACAGCTTTGGTACTGGTTGCAAAAAAGTCATAATGAACTCACTCTGCTACCCTGGCTGTGTCCATAAAAACATAACTTTCATGTTCAAAGCGAAGGAAAGCAGTTGATTCTTTACTACTGTTTATATTGGTGATTACTTCCCATATTAAAAGCAAAACAATATGGGAACAACTGAATATGCGAAAAGACTATTAAACATACAAAAATAAAAAATTTTTTTATTGACCTGACAGGCGTGAATTCGCAGTGGCCATCACACTTGCCTATAGGCTCGGTGGTGACTGATTTCAACACCCTTGATCTTTATCAAGACTCCAAATTTTGTCTACTTCTATTTTATGACAATGCGTTTTCTTTTTCAGAAAATTTTGAAAAGGTTAATATGACGTACATTACATTTTTCTTAACAGTGTCTATTTTTTAGAGATAAAGTAGGATATGCGAAATAATTAACATAAAATAAATAATACACACTTTCCACAAGGCATCTGAAGGCCCCACTTGCTCCATAATACTGCTCTTCACTGTTCCGTTGACACTTTCGGAAACCTCCACCACCACAGCCTTCACACAGGTTAATAGGCCTCACATTAGGATTGTACTCTGTGTCCAGGGCACCTGGAATGCAGCTTCTTGCAAACAGCTCACCTGCAATGAGAATGACAAATATATTAACCATATGTATGTTATAACATAAGCCCCAGTACTTGAGAAAGAAAATAGGGGTTTTTCAGCTGAAATGCTACAGAAAGATTCTCAGAATACCATAGACAAACGATGATTGGCTAGTAAACATCTTGTCTCAGAAGCTGAAACAGTTTGGTCATACCAAGCCCCAAGGAGGCTTTAAAAAAATTATTTTGAAAGACAAAGAAGGAAGTGCAGTAGCCGACCAACAAGAAGATGGGCACAGGATATAAGTGACTCCTCGAATATGAAAGTGCATGAGGCAGGAGAGCTGGTGAGAGACTGAGTTTCTTTCAGGCAGACCGAGATGACAGTCACGTTTTGTAAAGGACCTGCTACATGATGATTATATAACGCAAGCAAAAATATATGCAGTATCCCAGTCACCAAACAGGTATAACAGTAAAACCAAATGAATAAACATTACCAAAAATGTTACACACAACCAACAAATCATGTTACACACGAAAGATACAAAACAGTTCAGGGTTGTAGTAACATAGTTGTACCCAGCTAGACATAGCTGACCTTTCATTGACGCCTGCTCTGCGTTGCCTGTTAATCATTGTTGTGTGAGCAATAGCTGTCAACACTGCGTTTTCATTCGTAATCAGAATTAGTGATTGTTGGTGCATATATGATAGCCATTTAGGATTTTAATCAGGACATGTCTTTATTTCAGCTGTCACTGTTGGTAGGCGACAACGAGGGTACTGTTGCACTAAAACCATGGGGCATAGAATGCACTCCCTTGGGGGACCTAGGCTCAGTCTGTTGAGTAGGGGGATTGGGGTTTGGCCCGTTGTACATGTTATGTGGTCACTAAAACCGCTCATGTCCTGTAATACAGAGTATGCTTGGTCGCTGGTAAGACCGTCGACACAATACAAGGTGGCACCAACCTGATAGCCCTGCCATTTAGACTTACATGTCTCAAAGATTAAGACACCAAAATGAACATCCTATCCATCTCGCTGGGCCCGACTTCGCTACCAGAACCGAGTCCAGGATAAAATAAACACAATGCAAAGATTTTAACTGAAGAACTGCTTTTCTTTTCCCAAATGTAGCACACAAGGTTCTCAACCAATGCTCACCCAACCCTCTGCTGAAATTTTCACGATTGCTTAAATTATGCATGTGAAGTTTTCTCCAAAAGGTAGCCAGTCTCATGCCAATCCTCTTTAATAGCTTCTTATGACAGGTATAGTTACTATGCTTCGCTTCCCCTCTGCACTGTTATAACACATGGGTGAACTGAAAAACTAGTGGGCAATACTGTGTGCTCTCAACCGATCTTCTGCTGTTCAACATCTTTTTGAACCTGGTCATCCTAAGAAGCCACAAAACCAACATTTTCCGTTGGGCCTCAAAACATAAACTGTGTAAATTAACCGACTTTCCTACAGTGATATTTACGAGACATCTAGTTAATACTACTGATCGTGTTTGTGCCTGTGCCAGGATCTGAAAATATTAACTAAAAAGTGGGGTGTGGGGTGTGTGTGTGTGGTGGTATTCAAAAATGAGTTTTTTAAAGCCACGTTGATGTTAAATTTTCCCGTAGCTTCAGTTATAGCAGGGTTATAGCATATAAGTCACCTAATTTTTATTTTCAGGCCCTGGGGGATGTACTCCATTCAATGCTTTGCTCTGTTCATGTTTACTGATTATCCCATTTTTTAACGGCTTTATAAAAATGATGAATTTAAAACAATTTTTGCGAAACTGTGAAAAATAATGTTTCAAAGGAATCTTTTTGGGGAACTCGCACTGGTCCATGAACTGGTCCCCCCCCCCTTTTATAAAGCCTTTGCAGGGTCACAGGGTTAAAGGAATACACAGCCAAGCCAAAATATTATAGCTATGATGAGAAAAAAATGACAATGTCTGGCAATGTTAAATTTGAATGATAAGGAAACTTCACGACCTTCGCTGAAATTTTTGATGTTGACTGAAATCTTGTCCCCCCCCCCCCCCCCCCCCCAACCTGAAATCTCATATATTTTTCTTTGTGTTCACCCATGTAAACTCCAGTGGAAACTTCTGGGTGTTCGTCCACCTCTGGACTTAGTCTTGCTCCATAACCTTAGTGTTACGTGCATCTCTGTTTCACAGATCTGTCTAATCTGTATGCAGACCTGTGGTTCCTTGCCTCTCCGGCAGATGCACTCTGACTTCAAAGGACATTTGCAATTAGTGGACTCATGCTAGTTGGGGAGGTTGTGGGTCTATTCTTGTTTCCCTCGCAATGGGGCCCCGGAACCCACATGGAACCCTAACAATACATGTTGTAATGAATCTTGAGCATATAGAAGTGTTTGTATGTTTTCAATGGCACAACAAATTGTCTCTTCTTCTTTGTTTTACTTGAAAGTCTATGTCTGATGTATCATTTTTATGATTCACAGCCTTAGAATTGTATGTTTTAAATATAAATAGTGTTTATAATATGTCTTGAGCACACTGATGCATTTTAAGTTTTCACTGACAAATAAATTAAATACCAATTAAACAAACTGTCTCTTCTTCTTTGTTTTACTTGAAAGTCTATGTCTGATGTATCATTTTTATGATTCACAACCTTAGAATTGTATGTTTTAAATATAAATAGTGTTTATAATATGTCTTGAGCACACTGATGCATTTTAAGTTTTCACTGACAAATAAATTAAATACCAATTAAACAAACTGTCTCTTCTTCTTTGTTTTACTTGAAAGTCTATGTCTGATGTATCATTTTTATGATTCACAGCCTTAGAATTGTATGTTTTAAATATAAATAGTGTTTATAATATGTCCTGAGCACACTGATGCATTTTAGGTTTTCACTGACAAATAAATTAAATACCAATTAAACAAACTGTCTCTTCTTCTTTGTTTTACTTGAAAGTCTATGTCTGATGTATCATTTTTATGATTCACAGCCTTAGAATTGTATGTTTTAAATATAAATAGTGTTTATAATGTCTTGAGCACACTGATGTGTTTGTAAGTTTTCACTGACAAACAAATCAGATACCAATTAAATCAACTGTGTCTTCTTCACTTGAAATAGTCTTATTTCTGAAAGACCGTTTCTATGAATTCCCTATTTTCAAACTGTTGTCTATTTTAAACAGTGTTTATAATAAATTAAAAACTCACAACTAACACCAACTGAAAGCCATCTATATGGTAAAAAATTTACAAATTATACATGCAAGTTGGGAATTAAGTCTACATCAACAAAATTTAGAAACTCACCAATATTCCTAAAAATTGAACAGTCACTGGGAAGAAATTGTTCAGTTTCAATGTAGATGTTGAGCGGAATAATCCAACCATCACCCCGATTTATTCCAGGCTGACATGCTCGTTTGCCTGAAATTTGAATTACAGTCTGTATTTCATGTGATGAAAGTATGTACAGTGCATAACCAAAAAAAAATTACAATCAAACAAGTTTACAGTTTAAACTTACTCCGGTAAGGCAAAGATTTTCAAGGGTCTTCAGGAGACAGTGAACAGTGTGGAAGCACAAACAGATTAGGAGGATCCCAGGAGAATGATGCAGCAGTGATTACCAGGGGGTCTGGCTGACTTCAACACTGAGCAAAGACAAAACTGACATACAGACTTCTACTGGTACCATTGGAACTGAAACTCGCGCTTGTGGTTGAAGATGGTGAAGAAGCACTTATTGGAATTTACCAAGTGCTGAGATATTGGCTCTCAGCTAAGTAAAGATACCCTGTAAACAAATTAACCAACATCAGTGTGAGCGACTGCTGTGTCATCTATATACCATCTGAGTTATCTTTGGAATTACCGCAAAAGATAATTTCTTTAAAAATTGAACAAATCTTGCATTCACAAAGTGCAGAGAATAAAATATAAATAAACTTATACTAGGCCCACATCATCACCTTTTCAGGAGAAAGTCTACACAGATGCTGACAAACTCAAATTGACCTGCTTCTTCATCTATCCTCTGTGCCCCCACTGAAGTACATTCTCACAACCAACTTCAGCCAAGTTATCCAATCCTCTGCAACCCCACACTGCTCATGGCATGTACTCCCCATCTCTAATTCTCTATAATTTTAGGGGGGGGGGGGGGGGTATGCCCTCATGGATTTCTTCTTCTGACTTTCTAGCCTTCAATGAAGCACAGGCCCTCAACCAACTCACGCCAAGTCTTTCTATCCTTTGCTATCGCATGTAGCTCTCCCCATCTTTCTAACTTCATTTTCCAGCTCCTTTCTCCATGAGTTTTTTGGCCTTTCTCTATTCCTTTGCCCCTGTGTTTTCCAGTGGGGTATGCCCTCATGGATTTCTTCTTCTGACTTTCTAGCCCCCAATGAAGCACAGGCCCTCAACCAACTCACGCCAAGTCTTTCTATCCTTTGCTATCGCATGTAGCTCTCCCCATCTTTCTAACTTCATTTTCCAGCTCCTTTCTCCATGAGTTTTTTGGCCTTTCTCTATTCCTTTGCCCCTGTGTTTTCCAGTGCAAAAAGAGCGTTCCAACATCCAGGTGCCAATTCTGGAGGTTTTCCTAGCTGAGAGGAGGTATTTAGACAATCTGGACTCCTTTCAGCTTTCTCCAAACTGTGTCATACTTCTTCTACTTGAAGAGCCTCCCCTCATCTTGGTTGGCTGGGTTTTACTTACTTCTCTTTTTGACTTATCCATGGTTGGTTGGTTGGTTTTTTGTAGCTATTGTTTTTACAGGATGAGGTAGCCAACCTCAAGCCCAACCCTACCCTAAGTCGCCTCTTATGCCATGCCTGGTAGGTCGCAGTGTCACTATTCTTTGCTTTCCGTGAGGGCCCCTGTGACACACAGGTTCCAGTGCAAATATATTCTATTTAAACTGTAATCAAGTATTCTCCATATGTGTCCAAATTCCAGTCAGTGTCTCCCCCCCCCCCCCCCCCCCCCCCCCCCCCCCAAACCAACTCACTGTAATTTGTTGAGACTTTCAGAAAGCTCCACATCAGTGAAACATTTTAATTAATTCCCTTTATGATGCTAAGACACAGGTTAATAATGAGTATTTGTAGTTATTAGTTAATTATTGTAGCCAGAGCTTTATTTTTTTGAGAAAAAAGAGGTACTGGTACTCATCACAAAGTTTCAATTACAAAAGCGCAAAAAAAAAAAAAAAAAGATGCATAAAAAGGGTGCAAATAATGGCGTACTATTTAAAAAAAAAGGCCCTGGTTTAGTCATTCTCCACTCTTCTATGTCATACGACAGGACTGATTTAACAAATTGACTGCTGCCTGAAAGTGACCAAAAAAAAAAGCAGAAAAAGAAAGGAAGAGAAAAAGGATTGTTGTCTGAAGAAAAGATAAAAAAAAAAAAAAAAGACAGTTTTAGTAAACCTACCTCTCATATTGAAGAGAGTGGTGTACTTGTCAGTTTTTCTTGCTGCTGCAACAACTTTAAACTCCATCGTCATGTCTCCATAGTCTTCAGCTGCAATAGGCACAAGCCCATATCGCCTGTATGATGAAAGTCAAAGAAGTTAAACTTAAAACAGAAATAAAAGAAGATATAAAACAAAGATGCCTACAATACAAATACAATAATTAGTTGTAGCAGTAATTCAAACAACAATGTCCTGCTCAACCCATCCAGCTTATAACTGGAAAAAATTGTCCCCCTCCCCCCCATTCAATAACGAATATTTATGCCTGTATATTTTTCAATTAATCAATACTGCATAGTTTATGTTTTCATTGTGTAAGACTATAGGACTACAGAACGTTAAGTTTAATATACCTTTTAAAAAATTTTAATAACCATATTGTGAAAGTTTTCTGGGACATTATTATTCCGCCTTAACCCTACCAGACACGATTTTCCTGAGAATTTTCTAACCAGCCGCTAAACCGCGGGCCCACTTTTCCGGAAATTTACATAGTACGTGACAAACATGCGTCAAAGACAACCAGCCAATTGCCATCAGACTTGGTTGTTAGTCACTGCGAATGACTTCCGGCGTGTGTTAAGATTTCTTTGTGTGATTTGAAATGAAACCAGCAGCTTCGACAAGAAAGTGACGTAGGTCTAGGCTTATCACAGTCCAACAGTTGATCGATACTTTGGTTAATTCAGACTTTAAATAAGTTCCCAGTTGTGACACAGTCAGAGCTAGAGTGAGGAGGAGAATTATGAAAATTATAGATTTAAAACCAGATTATAGTAAGAGAAAGGGGCGTGTCCCTTAAACAGCAACATCTGGTGCTTACTTTGCGAATCAAGGCTGATCCTACTAGGTGGATTGGCACACAAAGGGGGAAGATTGGCGCTAGATGAAAGGTAAAACTATTTTCTACGTCTCCAAGTTTTATCTTATTCTAACCACTTGTTTGCATGTAACTAATTTTTTTGTACATCATGTTGGTTTTTTGCGTGTTAGTGCCCAGGAGCTCAGGTTATAGGGACAGTTAGGTTCAGGGCATCAGGTCTGGTAGGGTTAAGATATATTAACATATCATATGCTAATCTTTGATCTTTTGATGTACTGTTTAATCCTTCCTGGTACCTCTCTTTCTATCTACTCTTACGTCAAAGGCTTTCTGCAGCGGGTCATATATTCATGAAGAAGTTCTTGGATTTGAATTGGCACCGAGGCATATTTTTGTAACTGACTTAGGGCTCCCAGGTTGACCCAGCCTAAAATGAGTACCAGGAAATCGGCTAGGAATAAAGATAACTGGTGTGATTTTGACCACTCCCTAATCAACATTATCAGTCTAGTGCCATACGTCTGAAGTGTCAGTGACGTGAAAAGGGTCTTTTACTTATTTCATTGATTTATAAATGGTTCTTAGTGTTCCAGATGTGGGTTTTGGGCCTCCTCAGTAAAGAAAAACAGAACAGACCCACTACCCCTCCAAACAAGCATGTCACATAAAAGTCAATCAATTAGGGCTGTTTCCTTCAAAGCCAGAGTGCATCTGCCTGAAAGACGAGAAACCAACAATCTGCACATAATTAAGGCAGATCTGTAAAATGTACGTACATGCAAAATTCAAGTTCTGGATGAAGACCAGAAGTGAACAAACAACCAGAACTTTCCACTGAAGTTTATAGAAGCTGAAGGCAAAGAAGAGGAGAAGATTGACTGAAAGTGTAAAGCACCAACCTTCCCGCAATGTAGATATCTCCAGCATCAAGATTTATGAGATCAGCATCTCCTCGGTAGATCATTTCCATACAGTTAGTAGTGTTGCCGCCATAGAGACAGTCCATTTCTGGTTTCAATTCTTTGGCCTTGAATGCCATGATCATGTCCTCGCACTTCAGTTTTTCGGCCAAGGAAGTCAAACACCAGCGAACAGTGTCAGACGGACAGCGATTCATCTCATTCAGAAGGCCCATGAATTTATCTCCTGAAATGCAAAAAAAAAAAAATACCCGAACATTGTTCAATTAAATTACATACTGAGAAAAACAAGCTGGGTTAAGAAGCGACATCAAAGTACTTGAGACATTTTCATAAGCATGCTGTCCTCATTCAGCAGCAGTCTGACTGTTTTTGTTTTGCTTTCCTCTGAGTGTCAACCTAGTCACTCCCGGCTGAACCACTAATGATAATATTGATTTACATGTATAGTTTGATATGCACACATATTTTAATAATTATGCTTGCCTAACAATTCATAATGGCATTAAGTGAAAAAGAAGTCAAATGAACTAGACAACTAGAACGTGTCAAAATAGTTATAGCTCATGTAGAGGAGAAATGAGGAAACATCTCTGCAGTAAACATTTACGAAATTTACAGCAAACATATTTGTATATATATACACACACATACTGTAAAGTTCATGAATGTATACACATATTCACATATACATACACACACTGGCTCATAAAGAAAAATGTATTTACTGCATGTGGTTAACATTTTATAAGGTGGGATGGTGGGGGCTGCATATTCAGGGCATCATGGCCAATGCTGTCACTACAAACTTCTCAGGAAAACCCTCACCCAACCAAAGATTTAAAAATGGATCTCTAGCACGACAGCCCGGGATTCAAGCCAAATGGCCAGCCACTCCTCTGATATATATTTTCCTCATTATAATGTAATGTTCATAAGATACAATTCCCTAATAAAAACTCTACACATGAAACAGACACAACACACTAAACGAACAGAGTTTCAGCAATATTAAATTTTTTTCTCCCACGTAAGTTTATTAACCCCCATTTCAGTAACAGATAACAGTCAAATTAGTTATAAAAACACATTTGAATTTCTCCGTACTTCCCAAAGAGTTAATATAAAGCTTTTTTTTACAGCACCTACAAAAGTTCAGCAAAGCAAGCAAAATTATTGTCGGTACAGGCACAGGACTGTAGGGTACACCAGGCTGTCATCCTAATTATAACTTTGTTGGAGGCTGAACAGCACAACTGGGATCTGCCCAGTTTGTCTGCCATCCAGACCTAGATTTTATATTTCATCTCAGGGTGGTAAAACCTCAAGTAGCAGCCCAGAGAGAACAAACTGATCAATCAAACAAAACTATCTGTACTCACCAACCCAGGTGTAGTAAGTCTCAGTTCCTGTGTCCATGAACTTCTTAGTCATATCTGAGAACATCTGGTTTCTTCTCGTCAGCGTTTGCTGGAAGACATCTGAAGGATACGTGGTCTCTGACCTGAAAATTTTAAATTTGCTGGTGGAATACCCATCGGGTCCAAACAGCTCCTCTATCGCGTGAAGAAATGTCTTGTAGCCAGCCAATGATTCTGGATCTCTTACAGCTGAGGTCATGATTATGTTTGGCCTGACTTCTCCCCAGTTACAGTTAACATAATCATCAACTGTAGTACTACGCCCATCAGGACACAGCAGCCGGTAATTCTATGACACAAAAAATACAGAACAGCTGGTTAGAGAATAACAGCAATTTTTTTTTTTACATTTATCTTCCACCAGCTGTAAACTGGCAGCATGTTCTGTTTTTTCCCCCCCTCCCCCTTTCTAGTCTTTGGTCTTGTACCAGAACTTGAATTTTGCATGCACATCCATTTGACAGACTTGGCTTATCTGTATGCAGACTGCTGGTTCCTTGCCTCGGTGTCAGAAGCACTACGACTTCAAAGGTTATGACATGCATGTTTGGGGGACAGTGGGTATATCCTCCCTCCCTCCAGAATGGAGTCCTGAAACCCACACTGGGATTTTACATACATGAGCAGCACAAATCAACAGCAAGGGATTTCCATAAGCTTACTTAGTTAGTCTTTCCTCTTGGGCCTAGGGCAGCACATAGGGCAAGAGGTCATAGTTCTTCATGTCGGGCAGTTTGCTGCCATTTAGGTCTTGGATTTTTGTTAGGTCATGGTTGAGCCATCCCTGATGGTGGTTCTACACAAAATCGATCTTGGTCTTCCTCATTATCTTTTCCCTTCCGGTGTCCATGTGAGGGCTGGACTGGGAGGTTTCGACTTATTCATTTCTGAATGCATGGCTGATGTAATAAACTACAAATCATTTTTTTAAATGAATGCTATTTCAAAGAAATAAAAGATTTAAAAAAGTGTTTATTTTCTTTTATAGTCACTTTCAAAGAAAAATGGATGTACTGTACCTAGTGGTAGTGTGTGCTTAGGCAGTCCTGTATTTCTTTCTGTAACCCTACCTCCCAATATTGCTGTAATTATTTAGTTATTAAATTTACTTCAACATTAATTTACTATTCTTCCACAGCAAAGAACTGAATCGCCTGCTGTGAGAATGTTTTGCAGGCCCATTTTCATGTTTTTAAATTGTTTTATAATAATTGTCCTCACCACCATGTTGTGCGATTATAGTACATGTTGCTTACAACCAGTCCATCCATTTCCCCCTGTGGGTTCCCGGGGCCCACTGTGGAAAAACAAGCCTACCCAACAAGCAAGTTGTAAGAGCCGACATACCGGGCGCTTCCTTCGAGGGCAAAGTGCATCTGCCTGAGAGGCAAGGAACCAACAATCTGCATACAATTAAGTCAGATCTGTTAAACGGACTAAAGTCCGCTGAAGTTTACAGCCAGTGAATGCGAAGATGGGGTAGAAACAGAAAATTACACTGGAAATGCGCTGTCTCTGCAAGATCAATAACAACATTAGGCACAAGACAAGAGTTACGAATACCAGCATTAGAGAGGTAGTAGGAATAAGACCAGGACTGGATTATATTGAAAGACAAATAATGAAATGGTTTGGCCATTTAGTGAAAATGCATCCAGACCAGACCGCAAATGAGAGGAAGACCAAGATAGCTATGGATAAATGATGTTAATGAAACCTGCAAAAAGTTTGAACAAATCCATCACTCAAGCCACCCGAGAAGCGTGAGACAAATACAGAAAACCAATACACTGGGTTACAACCTGTTAACAGTGAGAGGACAAAGAAGAAGAATTCATTTCTTCCATTTTATCAACATCACGTGAAGTGGAACACGTCAAATAACAAGCAAGTGCAACAATGGTCCTGAAATCTCATGCATTTATTTTGGAAGTTTCTTCTTTATGTGAGCTGATCTTGCCAGAGACACTCGATATAGCCATGGACTGTGATTATCATTCACCCCTATAGCACAATAGAACACTATCATCTGGTAAGATAGAAAGGTGACAACAATCTCTAGAGCTTAGACTGGCATCTCTAAATAACATTCCTCATATAGTGTTGCCTTTGGACACCCTAGCTTCAAACCATTTATTTCCCATTTCAGTGCCCGTTTTGTGATTTTTTATCAATTTATTCTCAAAATATACTTGAGATATCATAATCTTCTTTTTCTTTTACTTTATATTAAAGAATCTAACAAAATGTAAATATATTCACTACATTAAACAAAGGTACACACCTCTGCCGAATACGAGAATCCTGTCAGATTATTGCTGTTTTCAGGGCTAGTCATCTGTATGATTGTGTCATGTCTGAGAAAGGTCAGCTGTCCATTACCATCTGCCACACATTTGAAAGCACCATCGTAACCAGCATATTCATCACTTGTAGCACAGAACTCTTCATTTTTGCCAGTGCATTGGTCACACACTGATGTGGGGTTATTTCCTAAAGAAAGCAAAATGTACACAGTGTAATCAAAATCATGTCACTCAGACACAACAGAAGCAGTTACATGTCACCCATGCAAGCGATGGATAGATGGAATATCTGGGTGGCAGTGAATACCAGCCTCTACATAGCACACACCAGGGCTCGCACCCAATGCCTCTTCACAACCTGACAGTGAAAGCTCTGATATACGATTCCACAACATCTAGTCTGAGAATGGAGGTGGAGGCAGTCACTGCAACCTTCTGCGGACTTGAAAACCAGCTGTACATACATTTCAAAATGGTAATTGACTCAAACAGCATGCTGAGAAAGGTGGAGACAGGTATACCAAGTGCAGACACTTCACAGGAAAAGTGTGTACAACCAATGTCCTACTGGAACAAGTAGCAAAAATTTGGAAAATGAGGATCATCACAGGCCAGAGGGATAAACCTTAGCATAGAAAGATCATTAATACAATAAAACTGGCAATGATCCGCAGGCCACTTGCTAGGCCATCGCGGGCCGGATTTGGCCCATCAGTTGAATAGCCCTGATCTACACCTTAGCAGACTTGCTGCAGGAAACAGGTGCTATGATATAGATTTTTTAATCAGTAAATCAACACAATTGCCTGCCCTGTCAAAAGTCTGTGTTTCCAGCCATGTGATTGCTTTGGTCACTGCCATGACCTCCATATCAGACAACTTGTGGTCAAGGCAACAGCACCAACGAATTCTAGCAACTAAAATACATTAAATATCACAGACTCACCAAAGGGGTTGTAGAATGAGGTCAGTGAGCCGGGAAGGCACATTCCTCTGAAGAAAGTTGACACGGCTTTAACTATGGCATTACACTGATCAACTGTGATGTAGTGCTGGAGCAGCATACTTCCTATTGGGTAGACCCAACCAGCACTCATACCAATGGCTAGTTATGGGAGAAAACATTTTAAAACAACTGATTACAAGTTCTTTAAGATAAATTAGGGGGAACAAGATGACATAGCATTTGGGACATTCTCATAAATGGTTCATTCCCATCTTCAGCAGCCAGAGCAGACTTTCAGTAATAATAGCCAGTTGCCGTCTGATTATTCAAGATTTGCATCTGATGGGGAAGTTCACATGACATATCCAGGTTTACTTTCTGAAAACCTCTCTTATGTTTATCTTATCTCCATTCTGAGCACAGAGTGTCTGCCAGGTTTCAATCTCAGCTGCTTCATTTATTTATGTGACGATCCTGGCCTCTGCTTTATATTTAGCCCCTTTTACTTCCCTCTCATTTCTCATGATTTGCCGTCATATCTGTGCATAAGTTATAAACCAGACCTATTAATTCTTTCAGTCCTAGCAGATTTCATTCAGTTGTTCTGTTTTAATTACTAATTTAAAATCCTCTTTACTTAGAGCATGCATTTTATTATTATTATTAATATATTCTGCATTTATGTGCTGGGGTGGGGTGGGTCTGGGGGGGGGGGGGGGGGGGGGCCGTTTTTTCATTCCCTTCAATACCTATGTATATTGATTCCCATAAAACCAGCACCGAACTTCATCCAATATTTAGATAAGTAGTAACTAAGATCCCCTCTGCTATGTCATCATTTCTACTACAGTATTTTCCTCAAGGTCTATAACATGTAACCAAAAAAAAAATTTACCATAAAGCAATGAATCATGTCACTTAAATAACTTTGAAAACATTTGCAGTGACAATGGGAAGGTCAGATTTCAGTTTGCATCTGACAAAACAACAACAATCACACACATACATACAAAAGTAAGACATTTATACAATGGTAAGTATTCATAAGGAAATCACACATTCCATGTTTCCTTAAGAACCTACAGTTTACTAGGCACTCATATATTGTCATTATATGGCAAAAGAATATCCATAACTTGTGTCTGTACCTCCTGAGTAACTTTTCCAATTAATCTTGTATTTTAATTTTTTTTTGTGCAAAATAAATTTAGTAAGGAGTCTTTAAAAAAAAAAAATAATATAAAACAAATGAAGTGTGACCTTGTTTAAATTCTAACAATAAGGCTGCAGACAAATTATTACATCAAAATGGCATTAAAGAAAAAATTCACATTGTTCATGATACATCCTGTTCCCCCCCCCCCCTTTCCACAAAAACCCACCATAATTATTTTTAGTAAAAATATTTAAATCCGGGCCTCCTAAACACAATTCAGGTGCAAAACAGAACCTATCAACATTAACTAGGCTTCTCAGGGACAGGTTACTGCAGAAATGTCAGGTAAGCGGCATTTACAGAATCGAGTTAGTAGAAAATGCCTGGTGTGTGGCTTCTTTCAGCAACAGAGTTAAGTCGAAACTTGATAAATAACACTTACATGAGTAGCATACTATCTTGTCTTTCAAACTTGCAAGAGTCACTGTGTCCGTTGCTTTGAACATTGCCACGGAATAGTACACTTGTCTGTCAGAATTATCTTTAAATTCTGAAATAAAATATACTCATATAAGCAAAGATGTGAGATTATAGCACATCACCACTACAAACAGTCCTTACTGTCTGTACTTAACACTTTTAGGGCAGTGTAGGACATAAGGGTTATGAGCCTCATGGCTAGAGTAGTAGCCACAAACTGTGCAGATAAGGGAAGTTTTAGTTATTATGATGGATAGGCAGGCTGACCATTTCAAGGACTGTCCATGTGGGCTGTGGGGCCTCCCTAGCAAGCATGCCATAAAAGATAAGGAAGAGTTCTTCAAAGTCAGAGTGCATCTGCCTGAGAGGCAAGCAACCAACAGCCTACACACAAAAAGATCTGTAAAACAGATGTGCACACAGAACCCAAGCCCTAAAGTGAATGAACAACCATAACTTTCCAGCCGTTCTACCTGAAGAAGAAGAATATCAAGGATTTTCACCTGTTATATCACATATTCATTTATTTTAGTCTGTTAGGCTTTGTATGCAGTTTCATAATTCTATCATAAACATTGATTTTTTCTAGTAAATTACATGTGGCATTTAAACAAATTAGTATACATTCATAACACCAAATATTCCCCTGTGTGGGTTCCGGGGCCCCATTGTGGGGAAAACAAGAATAGACCCACTGCCTCCCCAAAAGCATGTTGTAAGAGTCAACTAATTGGGGAGCTTCCTTTGAAGAGGGAGTGCGTCTGCCGGAGAGGCAAGGAACCAACAGTCTGTATTCAAGAGAATGAGATCTGTAAAACTGATGCACACGCAACACTTAGGTTCTGGAGCAGGACTGCAGTTCAGTAGTAGACGAGCAACCAGAACCTTCCGCCAGAGTTTACAGCTGGTGAACGCGAAGAAGAAGAAGAAAACACCAAATATACCCCCTCCCCTTACCAAATCTGACTGCCACTTCTTCTGCCTATCATCCCCAAATGGAGCAGAAATCCTCAATCAACTCCAGAAATGTTATATACTTTTCTTTTACACACAACTCACTCTATGTATTTACTCCCCACTGTTTATTTTATTTTAACGTCACTCTCAAGTTCCCTTGTTTTATTTGTATACCTGTATTCCTTTTGACCGTGTTGGTTCAAGTGCAAAACTATTCTAGTTATACTGCTAAAAGGTATTCTTAGTGTGAGTTTATCCAATGCCAGCATCATTTTGTCAGCTCTTGATATGCTGGAACTGATTTCTCTTCCAAAGCTCTACAGTTATTGTGTCTTACCATCTTATTCTCTGTTCTGTGCAGTTAATGAATGCTAATCATTGGTAACACATTTCAGCTACATAAAACAGTACTGATCTGGCATCAGAGCTTAATATTTTAAACTCGATATTGGTGCTAATTTACTTAGACTTCCATAGATTTCTCAGTGCTGTTAAAACTCCCATTGCCTTGTGTGTTAATATTTTTATATCTCTACTAGATTCAACTGCCCGGCTTCGTGAAATAAAGTCTCATTCTTTCGTCCTCTACCTTATTTTGGTCTCCACCGCTGCCCTATATGTAGGTCTAGCAGAAAAAAAAGAGTCTACACTACATTTGATATCCCGTCTTCCACTTCATCTTTGTATCCACCGCTGCCGCATCTTTATTAATTGCCATCAAGTACACCCGAGGCATTCTCTGTAATACTAATGCCAGTATTTAACAATCTGGGAGACAGACAAATGTACTGTCTGATATAGATATTTCGAGGAAGAGTTTTAATCAGGTTGCAACTATTACTATTAGCATGTCAACTCTTCGTTGGCTACTGAAGAAGGGGACGGAGCATGTGTGGGAATGTCCTGAGTGCAGTGATGTCAATTCTTGATTAATTATTTCATTCTTTTTTTTTAATGTGAGGTGACCATGAAAGCTGATGATGCTGGGGATGGTCAAGGAACAAACAGTTTTTTAAGTCAGTAGTTTGCCACTGCTTAGTACCATCAGAATAAAACAAAATGTACTGTAACACTAACATACAGTGAAACATATTTACCATAGCCATAGTCTTCTGCCATTATCGGCATCATGTTGTGCTGCCGTCCCGCAAAATACCCAAGACCAGAATCCAATGTAATTAAATCAGCTTCATCTTTTTCTATCATGTCCATGCAGGTGAATCTGTACAACAAATAATGCATGAAATTCCAAGGCATGCTCAACACAATTTCTAAAACTAAAGTTTCACACACAAAACAAAATACGGCTATCCTCTGAATAACGGTCCCAAATTATCCAGGCTAAGAAAATACCCTAACAGGGCCTCAATCATATTGTCACTGACTCACAGAGCATGTTGAGAAAGGTGGAGACAGGTATGCTCCCTGCATAGCATTAGCCAGATCCCCTGACAACTCCTCACAGTGCCACTCTCCTCAGACCATAATGACCTCTTTAACCTCCAGACTGTTCACTCGCTCCCAAAGGGCCCCCAGAACATCTAGCTTGTCCTAAATCTATTCCCCATTAAGTGTTGCAGAACAGGCCAGTCTATCTGCCAGATCATTTCCCAACACACTGGCATACCTGATGAAAATATCCAAAGAATGCTAACTACCCGGGACTTCTGAAGTGATGCTTGCCACTCTGCACCAATAAAAATATACATAATAAGAATATATGCATCTGCTGTGTGTGTGCATGTGTATTCTGGCATTCACACACATCTTCATCATCCAATACATTGCTGACTGGCATGGGCAGTCACGCTTCTCCATGCTGCAATCTCCCTCTGCATGCCACAATAAAAGGCTTTCAAAAATCACCTCTAAGTGTTGTGTAAATATCACTACAACCAACCCAAACTGGACTACAGGCAACCTAATAATCATTTTGTGGTGCATCAATGTAAATGTACTGTAAGGCTTCACAGTTAAACACAGTTTCTAGGATTTGTGTATGTATGATTCTCATCCCTGAGATGTTAATCCTACAGACTGCAATCTCTGAGGGGAAAAACAAAACCTCTCTTGTTTTCCTCTTACACTTTGTGTTCATTTAGATTTTGTGATTAATACAAACCACTTTCTTCCTTCCTTGTTTGGTGAAACAAACAAAACAAAAATTCATCACATTCAACCAGCATCCCGGAAGGGGGAGCATTTGGTTATAATTGTGACTAGGTTATTTGGGCAAGATAAAATGGCTTAACATTGCTTGCCACCAAGTAGCCATGAAAAGGACTCTTGCAGTGTTGAATGCGATTAAATAGACAGACCCAAATACTGTCCCAATCAACAACAAAGTCGTCTGCCGGCTCGCCAATGGGTGAGCTAGTCACCCATGTACAAATCCAATCATAAATTATATCTACATGTTGCTAACAATAAACAAATCAGACAGAAACTCACAAGTCATTGGTGCGAACACACTGAAATATTTCAGGAAGCAGTTTAGCAAGCGTTGCGTTTGCCACTTTGGCTGCTTCCAATTGTAATCTCAGCTCATTGCATTTAATCTCCTCTGCAGTTGTGATGACACACCATCTTGTTGCTGTGTGACAGATTTTATAAAACACACATTAATTCTTTCAACACTAGCCAGCATTTATTAAACACTTTTTCACACTGAGAAGTTCTAGTTTTAAGTAGCCCATGTTTCAGCCTGAAGATATACAAATTAATACACAATGAGACAAAAGGGGTTAAACTGTTAACACTGACTGTATTTGGATGAAGTATATTATTTGAATTTGGGTGGGGAGCCACTGTGGTGTAGTGGTTAGACACCTGCCTGCAGATCTGAAGGTTGTGTGGATTCAAATCTGAATGCATTAAACTTTTTCAAAAAATGACATTGTCTTCCAGGTTGACCCCGCAGTAAATATTACCAGATAAAGTCCTGGAAAGTAAAGGTGGCCAACGTGATTCTGACATTGCCCAACGAGTGCCTACTGGTCTATAAAACACAGGTCTAGCATAATATGCTTAATATGCCCGCATGCACAGAAAGGGGTCTTTTACTTGACATTCTTTGGGTGTATCACAAGAAGGGGAAAACGACATACCAGTGAGAAAGTTGTGGCAAGGAGAGAAAAGGGGAGGTCAGAAGAGATGGACAGTTGGAATGATATGATGATGGCTTGGACCCTGAGTGCTTCCACTGGCCAAACAGACAAAGTTAAGTTAAATGTGAAACAACACAAATTAAATTTGGCTAGAAAAACCACAACAGCAAAAATAAATGTTGTGGTTGGTTCTCTGCAACGTCCTGTAAAAGATATGCAACTAATTTTTATATTCTCAGAATATTGCTTGCTTAAACTATTAGGTTACCTTTAAATAACGGAGAGATAGAAAAGGCAAACGAATTCTGATCTAAAGAATATTTAGTAATTTATGAACTTATGTGAAAGTTGTTTGATAATAAAATAATATTCATATTTTTAGATATTTTATTAGTTTAATTATGAATTTACATGTAAAAAATAGAAACTATAAAAATTTAAATAAAATACATAGTGTGTAGATTTAATAAGATACATTGACTACCATTAAAAAGTTACATTTCTTCTTATTTTAACTAAACAAGTAAAAACCTTGTGAGAGGAAACACAGAACAGTAACAGTAACAAATCATATTCAAAATTTTAGAGACCAGAGTTTCAGGAAGTGATTGGAAAAAAGAAAATGCTTAAAATGGGTCAAACAAGGTGAGAACTCATAAACTAATATAATACAATTTATTCTAAAATACTTACGTCTCACTGCGCTGGACAATCCAAAGACACAGATAATCAAGAACAAGTGCACGATTTTCCCCATACTGGTGTCCAAATATGTTTAATTCCTATATCAACACCTGCCTGCCACCATGTTTCGTCAGCCGAATAACACAGAAAACAATTTCAATTAGACGAGATACGACTACGCCGTGTCAAATAGGTAGCAAAAACTATGAACATTTTCAAACCATCGCATTTAATTATTATAAGTGCTTGTCTACTGTGTACATCATACAAATATATTTGCAATTCAATGTATTAATTGAAAACATATTTTTGTTAAATTTGCCAGCGTAGTGTTATTTATGTCACTGTCCAGGTATCCTGTCAAGGTATTGTCGCTAAACAGTAACTCAGGTGGGAAAAGTAGTTCTATAAGTATCTGCAAGGCACCGTTCATGTGTTATGTTATTGCTCTCAGTGCCTGCAAATTGTGCATTTTATTCGTGATTCATATTCGTTTCCGTGTAACAGTATCAGTCCTCGGTAAAGATGGTGGAGAGTTAGACAAGAAAAAAAAAGGGGGGGGGGAGGGGGGTGAGCCTTATGATTTAAGTCTGCATGGCTTAGTGCAGTCACCAACTCTGCATTTAGATTTAGATTTTTGCTTCCACAATCCATACTTTACAGAGAATCGAACTCGGGGTTCCCCATGAGATTCCAGCACACTAACCACCATTTGGTAACCATCACAACCTGAACTTGCTAAAATACTTCTATTCATTGTTCCCTCGAGAAGCTGGTTACCTTCTTTTTTCTTCTTCTTCTTCTTTTTCTTCTTCTTCTTCTTCTTCTTCTTCTTCTTCTTCTTCTTCTTCTTCTTCTTCTTCTTCTTCTTCTTCTTCTTCTTCTTCTTCTTCTTCTTCTTCTTCTTCTTCTTCTTCTTCACGTTTACCAGCTGTAACTCCAGCGGAAGGTTCTGGTTGTTCCTCCTTTTCTGGACTTCAGTCTTGTTCTTGAACCCGAGTGTTGCGTGTACATCCGTTTTACAAATTTGACTTATTTGAAGGGTGACCATAAGTCCTGTTGTTGCCAGGACCGTACCATCGATACTCAACATCTATGGTAACGATGAAATTTTGTTGTTGTTCGGTATTGACGGGACGGCTTAGGCCTACCTCAGAAACGTCACTGTCCTGACGATATAGTAACCTTACTTATATGTATGCAGATTGTTGGTTCCTTGCCGCCCATGCAGATGCACTCCGCCTTCGAAAGAAACCCCCTATTTAGTTGACTCTTACGACATGCCTGTTCGGGATGCAGTGGGTCTAGTCTTAGTTATCTTTCTTTCCTTTTTGTTTTGTTTTGATCATCTTAAGAGCGGTTAGTTTGTAAGACGCATAGGTCGTGAGTCGAGGTGAAGATGATTGCCAATCATTCTTACACACATGCTCATCCTCTTTACCCCACTTTTTAATCTGCTTACCTACAAGCAACAAACACAAAATTAATAGTTTCAATTCAAGCTATAAACACCGTTAACACTGTATGTGTTATAAGGTAATTTATCCTCTGTAATGTTTCATGCATACTCTTAGTATAAAATCATGGCTTTGCTTCCAGCTCTGGCTTTCCTGTCTCCAAGTTGTACTGGAAACCTGGCTTAACTGGTTCCTGGATTGTATGGAGGTTTGTCCAGCTCCCAACAATACTCTTGAGGCATCGTAAATGCGTAAAGGAGGTTTTGATTTGTCTCCGATCATCTCTTGTATGGTAATTAAGATTTGGTGTTGGCTGAGTCCTTTTGGCAACATAGCCTTCAAATGGATGGACTATGGATGTCTCTGCATTGCCAAGCAGCCAATCTCTCACCCTTCGTAAGATCAAACAATCTCTAGAATTTTGTGTGTGTGCCTCACCTCGACTTCAACAGTTGTCTCTCCCACCCCCTCTCCCCACTTCTTTGTCCAAAGATGTGAACCGCTATTAAATGGGAATTCGAACACAATCCGTTCCAAGATTGAGTTCTTTTTTGAAATCGTTCGGGTTAGGGTTTGGATTAGAGTCTAGGTTACTACTAGCCCTAACTCTAACCATAACCCCAAACATAAAGCATTCTAAATATTAAAGAATACTATAAAACGGCTTCGCACAGCAAGAGAGTGTGACAGTCGTCCTGATGGGGACATTGTGTAGGACGCTCACCAGCAGGACTGTTTGCTTGGGGGCGGTGTGACTGATGGCTGTCTCGGTGCTTGCGCGGATGATCAATGATGTGGCCAACGGACAGAACAACCAGCTAAATCCAGGAACCAGGACCCTTAAAAACCTAATATAGGCAACAAAGGATAAAACTCAGATGTAATTGCAAAGGAACAGAACCAAAATAGGAGTAAAGGACCGTGCTTCAGAAAGTAGGCCTTCAGGCGGCTGAAAAAGGACTAAGCTTGGAAATTTTTTTTCTATACGATACGATACGAACAGGTCTATGGCGTAACGACTGCACGGAGTTTCTCGGACTTTTCCATGGGTAATCCTTATCTGCACGGTGGCACTTTGTGTCAACGGGTGTGACTTTGCTGCAGATATCACCCGCCTCCACTATCTCTCTGGTTGGCCTTCTCTTTCCAGTTGGCGACAAGTGTTTGAAGGTCTGTCTCAGTGTTGCCACTTTGGATCTTTTATATCCAAATTTAGATCTTTTTCATTGCATTTAGATACTGTTTTTATCGTTTAGATCGTAAATATTTTTCTAGAATTTTTCACTTGGGAGTTAAATATTTTATAGATTTTTTTTCTTTCATTGTCAATTTAATAATTACTGTGTAAAATATTTACTACAAAAAAATAATTGCTCACCTTCTTATTGGGCTTTCACTTTGAAAAAACCTTTCAACATGCCAAAAGTAAAGTATGAGCAACAAATTTGGAAAGAGTGGTTGCATGATGACAAAATTAAAAACTGGGGATATGACCAAAGCTTGTTGTAAGTAGTGCAAGTGTGAAATTAAAGCAAAATTTCAAAACTCAAAGAGTCGTGCAGAGACTAAAAAAGCATAAAACTGCAGTTTCATTTAAAGATATTACACCGCTGACATCTGTTTTTAGAACTATACTGATAAATGAATCATCAAAAGTTGAAGTATCAGTCGCAATGTTTTTAATATGTCACTGCGCAATTTCAAACTGTGACCATTTGATCGATTTGTAAAAAAAAATAATCTTGGATTAGTTTAATTTGAAAAGTGATGTCGAAAGTATAGTTTAGGAACTGAAGGACCTTTTAATCAGCAAACAGTTAGGCTTGAAGAATTTGGCTGTAATTGGTACTGATAATGCCTCAGTGATGGTTGGTATAAACAATGGCGTTTATGCCAAGTTGAAGGATGCTAACCCATCGTTAATACTTATAAAATGTATGCGTCATTCATTGCAGCTAGCATTATCACATGCTTCATCTAAATATTTACCAAGGAATTTGGAATACCTTATTGCTGAAACACTTTACTGGTTTTCCAAATCATTTGTCAGACAACATCAATACAATACATTATATACAGCCTTGAATGATGGTTCCACACCACCGAAAATTCTGTCAGATTGCAAAACTAGATGGTTATCAATTTAACCAGCTGTTGAAAGAATTAGGAAGCATTGTCTGAAGTTGAAGACACACTTTGAAATAACAAGACAAAGTGATAAGTGTTACACAGCTGAAATACTATTTGGAATGTACAGTAATGAAAAAAATGTGTCATTCATTCTCTTTTTATAACCTATTCTAATGGAAGTGCAAAAAGTTAATAAACAAAATAATAAATAAAGA